CCGGTCCCGGGGGGGGGCCGCCGGTAGCTCTGCCACCCCCGCCGGGCTTCAGGGCCCCGGAGCTTGTGGTGAAATGCACTTCGTGCCCTAAAACGCGTGTGCAGGGCGCGATCCGCCCGCGGTTTCTCCGGCCCGACGCGTGTTGTACTAGTGGGCGGGATTCAAGTGAAATTGAGAGGGCAGGAGAGGGAAGGGCATGTGGGAGTGTGTGCACACTGACCTGACTTGTCATGGCGACTAGATGTATAAACCCACTTTTTATCTAGCTCTTAGCTGGATGTGTGCTGCCAGACGTTTATTCGTGCGTCAGAAAGTGACAAATGGTGACAGTATGTACTTCTTACAGAGCTGGGCCCGCAGAGCGAGCTGCTTCCTGACACCAGCTGCGTCTTCCCCTCAGAGCAGGCCACTGCAGTGCTGCTGCTCGTGAACAGATCCAACTTAAAACACTTCCAGATAAAACTTAGAAAGCATATGCTCGCTGTCAACAGAACGACACCTGGGAACGGCAGCTGAAACTCCACCCTGTTTCTGTCTGCTGCAGCACTGGCAACTCCAGCAGATTGCATATCAGATAGGCAAGCTTTGGCCTCTGTCACTTCCCAGTACTTCCTAGTTTTGCTTTTTGGATGCTTCATACAGCTTGCTCACTAGTATTTAAATGCAAAGGTAGGTAGGAAAGAAGCTATAATAGCAATTTCCATTGCTCTGGGTTTTTTTCCTAAAGTTTTTTCAAAAGTTAATAAAAATCAGTATCTTGATTTTGGTCTATAGTTAATATGGCACCTCCCCTTTGCCTCTTGTTGACCTGGCATATTGCCACCTTAAATGAATTTGCATCACTGACTGCAGTGATACGGATTTGCCCAAAGTTTGGGAGATGTAATGGAAATAACTTGTACACTGCATTCCATATAATAAAAAACTGAGAAACAAGTCTTAAGTGCAAGACCTATGTGAAAGCAGGCAAAGCAAGGTCTCGTGGCCAGCCAGTAGAACGGGAAGTGACAGACCAGGACAAAATAACAATAATTTAGAATCAGAACTAACATAGAAAACATTCATTTCAGATTCATAAATAATTTTTAAAAGTGACTGAAACAGACAAGGGGCTGAAGAAATACTTGGTCAAGGCCAAACTCAGGTATTTTTTTTGTTTCCAGTATTTTATTTCCTCAACATGGTGACAATGTAATTAAAATATCATTGGGGCCCTAACTAAATTGATGTCTTAAGTTAACAGATGTACAAAATAAATTTAGCTATGGCTAAAGTAATTTTAGCATATTCCCACGTGCCCAGCTTTTCTTCTTTCAACACTTGACAATTTTTAGGTAAGTGGATATTGAGAGGTATTAAAATCCGTACCTCCCTCAGGAAAAAAAAAAAACAATTGGGAAGAAAGGGTAAGAAAAATTATTTCTTTAGAAGAACTGTATTGATATTTTATTAGCTATATGCAATATTATCCTCTTCGACATACTTTTTTGTAGAGTATAATTGCATAGAACAGGTTATCTTACCTATCCACTGAGGAAGTCTGATAAGGACACATTAGTACAGCCCTCACTAAGCTTCTCTTTCTGTAGGCTAACTCTGGTTTGGGCATCCATCAGTTTTCCCTTTTGTCTGATGAACCTCACTTTCAACTTAAACTAACGTTAACATATTCTTCCTCTACTTGATGATATTTAAATTTCCTTAACATTGGGAACAGGTTTAAAGAAATCCAGCATATTTTACTTGTTAACTTTTTCCATTATTGTGGCAACTTTTCTGATCAGTGACTTACTGTATAATGTCAACTGTATCTTCCAGCAGAAGTTAGATTGCATCTACATAGTTTAGTCCTAAAGTTACTGGTGGGGGAGAAAAAAAAAAAAAAACAACCAAAAATATAAAAATATAAAGGGGCAACTGTTTGTGTGGAAAGGTAGAGGGGCAAAGGGAGAGGGACTGGGCAGACTTGGCAAGTTTCTTAAAACACAAGACATAATTCTTATTTAAGGCACAAACCTTTGTTACTTAAGTTCTTTCTACAGAAAGTTGAGTTCATTTGCTAATTATATTTCAAGGGTGCCACACTGTGGCATTATAGAAATGTCTCTTAGGCTAAAGAAGTAATCCCTCTGGGAAGTTAAAAGCAGTGCCTTGAGAAAGTGATTTTATTAGCTGTGATTTATCAGACAAAAGAGAAATCATTGCAAGCTAAGTGTTCTTCCATTTCTGAAACTCATTTGGGCTTGTAAAACACATCACCTTCAAACCAGTAAACTTGGATTTTCTTTCTCAATACTGGTGCAAGATGAAAGGTATTCCTTTCAAGCAAGCCAACCTTATAACCAAGAAAACTGAGTTTAATACAACCAAAATCCTTTTTTACTGTCAGATTCAATTTGAAGGCTACATCTAGTCTGAACAGAAGACTTTAAGCAATATTATATAGCTGAAAATTAAGTGTTTGGCTTTCTCATATCATAGGATCTTCAAAGTGTTTCGCATGTACCTGGTACTGTACCACTGTATCTGTCTACAGGTTGTTGGTGGCAGTTGTGAAAGACAGAGAACAGGTCATTTGACTACTTGGATTCATCATGGTGAGAGATAGTTTCTTCTTCCTCTGCTAAACAAGGGAAAAACTTTTCTTCTTAAGAGGTAGTACTAACTGCACTGACTCATGCTTTTTGTGCTATCCATTAGATGAGATACTCATTAAATTTTTCATCCATTTGTTACAATGAACATTTAGATTCTCAAATAAGCAAATTAAATACTACAGAGTAACTTTATAGAAAGATGCATATATATGCGTGTAGTTCTAGTCAGTACATACCTGCAGCCATAAAGTACATACATTCATTTGAGTATTGATACATATGTAAGTCTTGTAGTTAGTGCAAATGCCCCTATTTTACCTCAAATTTACTACTGGAAAAAAAAACAATTCCAATAACCATACAAGGTGATTCTAACTTAAAGTAACAACAGAGCTAAATCAGAAAAAAGTTACAGGTGTTGATACTTCAGTGACAAGCGTATCTCTTTTGTGACACTTAGAACCTCTAGCCCGCTCACTTCTTTAATGGCTCCAGAAAATTCTTACATCATTCACAAAAATTTATTCTGTAAGTGATGGAAGTGATACATATGCTTCACGAGTGGCTGAAATTATGTATTTTCATAACATTTCTATATTAGTGAAATAATAGCCTTCCATGATTCTTCGGGGAGGGAGGAACTAACTAGCTTTTTTCTCTTTATAAGGAAAACTTTATCTTCTTAAATGTTTCCTATACCTTAAATAATACTTTCCTCTTTAAACAGGTTGAGATTAAATAAATTATCAGTATACTTTATGCATAATACATTTCAAAAATAATATGAATCTTGAACATTCCTTTAATAAAGTGCAAAGATGAAAGATTAAATTTCTTTCAAATAAAAATAGTGAATATAATTTAAAAAAAAATAATCCATTTACACAGTATTAATGTGTCTTTTTCTTGGCTTTGCGCTTCTTGTATTTTTGGTCACGTTCTCTTTGTCTCATTTTGTCATCCTCAATACTAGAGTCACTGTCACAGTTTCGCTGTTCTCTCTTTCTTTTAGAGGTGCTTTCATCCACCCGGTGCACTTCCCAGTCACTTGAATGTGGCAGGGCCAATTCAAAAGAACTCTGTGCAGACTTAAAATTTGCAGCTTGATTCAGACAGGGAGAAAAGGATAAATTGCAAGGCAGTGGTGGAGTCATCTGATAGTAAGGAAATTGTTGACCCATTGGACTCTGTACTGGGTACTGCTGTGCTAAAAAATGGTTCATCTAGAGAAATAGAAACTTGAGCTGTTAACACTATAAAGAGGAAGTTCTGAAGAGTTTAATTTTGCATGCATTACAGCTTATACAATGAAAATACTGATAAGTGATAAAATAACACAGAGCATTTGAGACTAAAGCTTATATATTTTATTACATCAACTAATATAGTTGGAAAAAGTAGACAATTTTTTCATGGCAAAGTTAGAACAGAGACAGAGTAATCTGATTTAACATTAAACTGCCAGTTAGTCCTTGTGTAAAGTAATCAAACATGGCATTCCTTTAATTTCTTCATCTATGTATTTTAATAAACGTTTGTAACTGCAGTGCCTATTGTTACCGTCAAGACATGCACATCTGCAACTTCTTGTAACCTAGTTTAACTCATTTTAAAGTTAACAAGCAACAAGGCATTCCAACAAGGTATAGTGAATCCACAGATCAAGGCACTTGGAACAACGCAGTAAGTGCCCAGCTTATTGCTACAGTCCCTAAAGCATCCCAAGAGTCCCTCTCATACAAAATGCAGAGCCAAAATACAGAAACAGAATTACAAAGGTCAGAAAAGAGCAGCTTTCTACTGACTGGCAGTAACTAGAAAAATGACAGGGTGCATGTCTGAGTATGTTATATGTGCAGGCAGACTCCAAGTGAGTAACCTGCCTGGCTCACCCAAATAAAGGTGAGGTAGATGTGTGAAGGCGTACACACAACAAGATCACTCCCTGCTGAAGCTGCAACAGGCTATCATTTGAGACATACCACAAAACCATCCCTTCTAGCAAGCAGAAAATGAGATGAAGTTGTTTGTGTGTGCTGGTCTACAAGTTTGGTCTCTCGGTGTTTACGTACTGCTTTGTTACTGAGGAGTTGGCTCATCGGCAAGCACAGCGGGGGAGATGGTACGCTCCCGAGCCTCCAGACACAGTGGAGGGGATAGGAAAGTTTGTGCAAGCACCAGTTCTTCTGAAGGCACAGCCTGGGAAGAGGGGAGGCGGGCCACCACCACATCTGTGCAGCAGGGAACAGACCCTCTCCATTTTCCTGCTCAGATTGCAGCTAGCAAGAGTAATCTATCCTGACTTCACCCCTTCTACACCTACAAATGGCTGGCAATTCCCCAGTCCGTCTGGGTGGCAGCAGTACTGTCCACAGTTGGTACCTCACATTAAACGCTGGGTTTCTTCAGCCCTACCGATCCATACTCATCAGATTCAGAAGCTTCATGATGTGTTCAGTGAGTAAGGTTTGGCCCACAGGTTGCCATCTGAAGAGACCAGTTCCCTTGCCTTGTGGAATAGCTCAGACAAAAGACGTTAGGAAGAGAACAGCCCAGTGTGCCAGACTCTGTTAGAGGGGAAGTGGAGTACGGGTTCACACTGTCTACTGCTGTGAAAGTAAATCATGAGCGTGAGAATGTGAGAACCGCAGGGGCGTGTAAAGGTTTAGGCCAGAAACCCTTAAACTGTTGTTGCCCTAACTTGGGCAGTGGTGATTTGTTGGGTGAGTTTTAGGTTTGGTTTTAGGACATTTCGAACTTCTGCTGGGCATTTCTGAATTTAGTAGAAGAGCTAAGAGGTTCCCTGACTGAATTAATTGTATATGAAGAAGCTATTGCTTGCATGGTTGTAATTGTACTAAATTAGCTTGGTTCACCAAGGGGATTTGATTTGGAACAGAGTACAGGAAAGAGCATCGTCTGCAAACTTCGACAATTTTAGACTCCCTAAGCTATATACCTTTCAGACATTCCTGCAGTAAGAAAATAGTTTGGTTTGGTAGGTCCCTTGTTATAGTAGCCTTAAGTGCTAAAATAAATATACCTAATACTGTCAAAGTTAGCAGTCTAAACCACATTTTGAGACATTACATCAGAATTGTCGTTTGCAGAAATGCAGAATACTTTCAACTTCATAAAAAAGCTCCCAAATTTTTAAGTTTAAACACAAACTCACCATCTTTTGAAAGCCTGAGTATTCATGAGGTAAACTATTGTTCATTGGAAAAGGAGTAACAGGAAATGGGGGATTTCCATAAGGCTCTTGATACCTAGGAAAAACAAGCAAACACACAAAGACTAGATGTCCACCACATACTGCTTACCAGAGTGCTGAGACTTGACTCTTGGGCTATCACGAGAGTATCCAAAAGGAGAATTGAGATATTAACAACCGGACTCCTATGAAAAAACTGATAAAACAAGGAAAATACAACCAAAGGCTCAATTAATGAGTAATTCTCACATGCACTTAAGTGCAGACACACAAGAGTTCTTGGATTTCACCATGGGAGTTTAGCTTCCACACAGAGTTCTGTCACATTTGTAAATAAATGTGACAAATTTCTGTCACTCATTCTGTCACATTTGTAAATAAAAATGTTGAAACATTGAAAAATACTGAATCTGGGGTGCTCAGACTTCCATTATAACAGGTTTGTACCTGTGCATGACAGCTGCTTGTACATATACACACAAAATATCCAGATATAAACTCAGTGGAATTTAAAAAGATTATCTCCATTGTCAGATTTTTTTTCCCCTAACAACTGCAAAGATTGTTAGTACAAACACCACATTTTAATATTTTCTCAAGGTCCTGTATCTTGCAGAAACAAATAAGAATGGAAAATTCAAGCTAACAACCTCTGGCAAGCTAAACAACCAAACATTAAAATTAACTACAGCCCATTGCAAGTCATCAGTAAGAATGCAATTAAAGCATGCAACAGCTGGTTTAATGAAAAGCCTAAATAAAGACTGCTCCATCACATCAACTAATTCTCTTAATAAGATTTTGTAAAAAAATTGTAATCATACAGTTCATGCACAAGTGATCTTTGTTACCTAGATGAAGGTGAATATAAGTCAATATAGTTCTCAAAACCATGTGTAGGGCTGTTCAGTTCTGATGAGTGAGAACTCCCTGTAAATAAGACAAGAGCATAATGACTTTTCAGTTATGACTACTCAATTAACAAGTTAAAAATCACAGAAAGTGTTCTGTGTCATCTGCAGCGTGCTAGTATATCTAAGGTAGGATATAGAAGGTGCTGTTTTATGGCAGATAATATATAGCATCATTTTACTGCTTGAAAATGTTTATTTATTATTTATTCATTTCCAGAAGCATAAATCAGGGCTGTTGAAGTAATCCAGAACAGAATCATTCCCATTCAGTTACAGACACGGGAGATGCTTCTGATTTTAGGAACTTCGGCCATTCTACTTCAACCCAGCAAACGCTCTGTACAGCTTTTGAAGTAAGGAGCGGCACAGTGCGTAACGGGAACACGAGTCCTTAATGTTCGGGTTGCAAACGCTGCTTGGTCATTAGCTTTTAGAAGGCTTATTTTCATAAACATAAAATGAAGAATGTGACTCTGATTTGACTATATTCTTCGAACTACAATCCCTTCCACTTAAAACAGCAGATCTGATAACTCTGTGGCTTTAGTATGAAAACTATCAAACAGCTTGATAGCTTGCTGCACTTACTAAATCAACTTTTCCTGCCAGACTGCAAGTTGAAATCACACCCTGGTTCCTAAATGTAATTCGGCATGAAAACCTGTGCTGCTATATTTTCCATACAGTGTGGTCTGAGCTGGCTTGCAAAAGTTATGCTGCTCTGAACCAATCTATTGTGTTCTTAGTAAACAAAAAATACAAAGACAGAATCCTTCCCTATGCAAAACCCACAAGAAGTTGAGGGTTTTTTCTTAAAAAAAAAAAAGGACTGTAATTTGATCCAACTATGAATTGTCATCTTTGTAAAAGACTGTAGGACTCAAAAACAGTCATTAAAAAAAAAATTAAAAATTTACAGACTTAATCATTGAGATTACTAAACGTACCAAACCGATACTGCACTTTAATGGGTCTTCCATACAAACGGATTCCATTCAGCAAAGCTATTGCATAAGGCACTGATTCTTTGTGCTTAAAGCAGACAAATCCAAAAGACTTAGGTTTTCCTTCTTTGTCCTTACAAATTGTCACTTTGATCAATGGTCCAGCCTGAAAGAAATTTGTATTATTTTCTCACAGAAATTAACAGATTGATACTTCATTCTGTTTTGAACATTTCATAAGGATGTATATTTTGCCATAGTCAGACAAAGTGTAAGTTTCTCAGTACGAGAACCTCTACTTAATTTCAAAAATGTCTCTCCACATTCCCCAAGCTCAAATTCTGAGCCTTCTATGATCAAAAATCAGCTCCACAAACACTGAAAAGGAACCAAGCATCAGTCCATGAAAGATGTTTAGTCTTAAATAATCAGATTTTCTGATTATTTTTAAAATACAATGATGATAGCTGCTGCAAGGGTAAGACTAATTTACTGACTCCGTAGCAAAAGTTCTCTTACACATGTACAGCTGCTAGTACAATTATTACAGAGCGTTTTTGCACAGCTAATATAACTAAGCAAATTGATAATATCAACTGTGCAAAAGTGACCTACTCCATTAATATGCTTCTATTTTACTCTTGCTTAAATTCCTAAAATGGGCAGCATTGACACTGTGGAAAAGCAAACCTGAAGAGAGTTGTGCTTCTGGAACTACCACAAAACAGTTTTCTGTCCTGCCTAACCCTCACCATGACTACACGGCAAGGAATCAAGAGATCCTACCGTCCCCATCAGAGGCAACATACTGTTTCAGCCCCCCTCAAAAAAAAAAAAAAACCAAAACTCCACCAACAAAACAAAACTCCAAACCATACCCTTTGGCTGAAATATCTTCATTGAAACGTTCCATTTCTGCCTACGTGTACCATTTTAATGCTTGCATAGTACTTCTAGAACCAAATTAAAGCAGCGATATTCCATAAATACTGACTCCATTTTCAAAGAAACTGTCATTTTCGTAATAGATATCAAAGACGATGAATCTTCTCTCCACAAGACGGAATCCTGGTATCAGTCACCAAATTAACAGTTTCTCACCAAAACAAACTATGCATCTGTATGGCTGATTTAGCAGAGTGAAAACAAGTGGCCAACAGCAGCCTCCTGCCACAGCTCAGGAGTGTTAAGGGTGCAACAACTTAACTTCAGGAGGATATAATATCCAGATGAGCAATGAAGTGAGCATAAGTTACCAAAAAAAAAAAAAATCAATCAGTAAAAAAAAAATTACTGAATGTCTAAATTACTGTAGTAGATGGAGGATTCATTGTTCTGAATCAAAAAATAGCAGTCATCTGTAGAACTGGCTTCCAGTGCTACTACTGATACAATATGTGCTTTTACTGAAAAGTCGCTCAGAAGCCATCCACAGCTTCAGGGAAGTAACAGCTTCACAGCAATTAAACTGTATGAACAGTTAAACATTCAAAATAAACATACAGCATATGCTCAGCTGAAGAAAATAAGCTACTTTATTATTCTGCATTTTCAATTAATATCATCAAACAACAAATCTGCAACTTGTCTACTGTGAGCATTCAGAGTGATGATGCGGAGCCATCTCCCCTATTATACCCTCCATGTTGTCAGACGGAAGATATTAAGGACTGTCATCTGTGATAATAGTGTCTGATTGCTGTATGCTTTTGCCAGCTGTGTGTAAACTAATCCTCAATTAAATAAGATGCTTTGCTGAAAAAATGAAACACCCCCACCCCCCAACCCTGGGGAAAGTAAGGAAATCATATAGACAAACACAAAGGATCAAAAATAATGTACCATTTTTAATTATTGGTGCAGCGGGTGATCGGGCTATACAGCAATGGATACTACCTAGGTCGTCCTGTGCAGGGAATCTTCAAAATGTTGAGCTTGTCTTTCCAAATATCTTGAAGTTTGCTGTGGTTTTTTGTTTGGTTGTTTGGGGTTTTTTTTGTGGTGGTTGTTAGCTATTTTGTTGTTGGTTTTGGTTTGGGTTTTTTGTTTGGTTTTAAAGAAGGAATTTCAGTAAGATTCTGAACATGTTTATTTTTCCTTGAGTTGGCTCCTTAAGGCATTTTTGTTGTTGTTCCGCACTACACTGCGGCTTTTTTAAAAAAATTACATATATCCAGTCTTCTGATTATTATTTGCCTAATGAGGAGGATCTGGTTCTTCAAGAAATAAAAGCAACAAACTCAAGTCCTTTGCAGATCGGTCTTTTAAATGTGTAGTCTTCCTGTTCATAAATAAAAATATTCACAGTTTAGAAATAGATACTTGCTTGTAATTTGATGGCGGAAAAGCTAGAGGTCAGGAGTGCATCTTTAGGACTATGCCATAGCAGGAATATTGAACTATACACTTTCCAAGAAAGGACAATACTACAATGAGAAGCATGTTCTGTTGCAGCAAAAGATAGAGAAACCTGAGTGAGAACAAGATGAAGAGAAGGTAAAAAACAAGTAGGTGTTATCGGGATGACCTAAAGACCCAGATAAAAGTCAGCAGTTAGATGACTGCTGCAGATTATACAGAAGAGACATGCAAAACTGCATTCCGAGAGAGTCTGCTTATTTTTAGCACTTTTGTATGAAGTATTGTATGGTATTACTCACGTTCCCTGGTAAGATAAGCTTTCTTAACCTAACATTTACAGTCAAACGGCAGACAACTGTTTAGTATTGGAAACAGATAGGAATACTGCATAGCAAATAAGGGGAAAAAAACCCACCTGTTTTTAGTCATTTTAGAGACAAGTTAAAAATTCAAAGTTAGGAAGAGATGGAAACAGCTCTAAACCCAAAGGGCTGGAATATACCAAACAAAAAGGCCTTTCAAAGCAAATGGAGTAGCATGCTGAGGTCTTGCCTTGGTAACAAGGATCAGATTAATCAGTGGAATAAAACTGGCGAGTAGTAGTAGTTCTGATTAGCAAATGAAACAGCAAGAGAATAGATGATTCTGCCCATTTCTTGTTTGCACTCTATTTTGCAAACTCACCAGAAGGAAGCACGGTTCGTTCTGAGACTGGGGGAAATTAGTGGATTGGTAGAAGCAAGTTTATCACCATGCTGTCAGCTAAACTGTCCAGTCTGAGCCTAGGACCTTTTAGCTTGACAGAGGCTGACTGGATCACATCAAGAAGAAAAAAAAAAAAACAAAAAAAAAAAAACAACACTATAAACAAATTCGGGAAAAGCCTGTAATCTGTAACTACTGCAATCCAACTTGAAACTTGATGCTTGCAGTAGTGATACAATGGTCTCTCCTCTCCATAGCCTCCCCCCTCTTTTCTTTACTACTTTCAGGTTAATAAGCCTGGCTTAGCCACAGGTGCTGTCAATGTGAGATCAAAACTGAAGCCAAGTCAGTGCCTTAACATTTTGTGTCTTTGCCAGTTTCTTTCCTCCCTAGCATACCTTATTTCCAAAGAAAGAGAATTAAGCTCAGGTTTGAAAACAGTCCAGCTACTTAGTATTTTCCCACCACTTCCCTGAAAATACCACTGATGGAATTTTTAGTATCTTCTCAAGCATTAGAATATAAAACCTCTTGATATAAAGGTTGTTTATAGGTGGAAGTCCAGACCTGCACCTGCAGATCATTCCCATTGCCTCTTGCAGTCTGGTAATAGTTTCACCCTTGCTCAACACATTTTCAGGTTTTCCATTGATTTTTCTTACTTATATTATTGATGAAACGTTTCTTGCTCAGAATGCATTAAAAGGACTGTAAAAAATATTTTTTTTTCCTTGGGGATTTTAAAAAGATCTTTAAATTACCTAACATCCTCACTAACTTGGGGCCCATCCGTGGCACCAAAATTTGCACAGCTGGGAGGAGACAAAACCGAGGAGGGGGAGACGGACCACGGAGCCGCAGAGGCGACGGCGAACAGGCGGAACAGGGAGAGGGCTCTCGTCCCCGCGGACCGCCGTGCGGGCGGCAGACCTGG